TGATTTTTTTTTTTTTTTTTTTTTTATGCCAACCTGCGGATGAGCCCATGCAAACACATACAAACTATATATATATAAATATATATATAAATATATGTATACATATATAAATATATGTATGCATACATATGAATATATATGCATACACATATACGTGTGTATGTGTATATATTTTTTATATATGTATATATATATATATTCACATACATATATTTATATATATATTTATGTATGTATAGTTTGTATGTGTTTGCATGGGCTCATCCGCAGGTTGGCATACAAAAAAAAAAAAAAAAAAAAATCAAAATGAAAAAGTTGACAGTACTCGGTACCGTCTTTAGGTCCTACCACGTTCTGCCGTACAGGAGGTTAGAGCTGACCATGTTACTGGTGTAGTCTACAGCAGACGTGTCTATCTGGGCCATGTTCAGCTGGCTGTGCAGTGACGGCGGACTGGGCGACATCTCCTCCAGGTCCAAAGCGTTCACGTGCTGCTGGCTCTGGTGCTGCACCAGGGAGCCGGCGGAGGACGCCAGCACCACTCCCGCTCCCTGCTGCTGCTGCTGGCCCGGTTGGACCTGCTGCTGCTGCTGCTGCTGCTGCTGGTTGGGCGTCGGCGTGTTGGAGCCGTTCTGGCACGGTTTACCGTCCTTCACCAGAACTGGCACGGCCACGCGCCGCGGTGACTGCGCCTGCTGCTGCTGGCACAGGTTGCCGTCCTGTTGCTGCTGCTGCTGCTGCTGCTGCAGCTGCTGCGCCGCCTTGTCCTTGGCCTGGCGCTTCATCTTGTAGCGGTGGTTCTGGAACCAGATCTTGACCTGGGTCGGGGTCAGGTGGATCATGCTGGCCAGGTGCTCCCTCTCCGGCGCGGACAGGTACTTCTGCTGCTTGAACCTCCTCTCCAGCTCGTAGACTTGCGCCTGGGAGAACAGGACGCGCCGTTTCCTCCTGGGCGCCGCGTGGAGGGTTGGCATGGATTTGGTGGCGTCCGCCATCCCCGTGAGACCCCCCATGCCGCTCATGTTCATACCTGTGGAAGGTCCCATGAATCTAGAAACTTAAAAATATACATACATACATGTGCGTTCAATACACAGAAGAGGAGAACTCTATGTCGCCTGAAGTTTCTTAAAAAACAAAACAAAAACAAAAGTCTAAATAGGAACGAAATAGCTTTCATATAATAATAATAATAATAATAATAATAATTTACTTTTAAAGTGTTCAGTCCAAGTGTTTAGTAAATACATAAGTAAATATAACACAGTTGAAACAAATGAAAAGTTAAAAACATGACTTTTTAAATTTAATAAAAAACATGTAAATATCATTTATATTTGATGTCAAATATTCCCAATAGTGGCCGAAAATAAATACATAAATAAATAAATACAAGTGGTATATATATATATATTTATATATATTTAGCCAGCAGCGTTCTCTCATCTCACATCTATAAAATATATAATATTTACATCAAAATTAAAATGACATTTTAAAAATAAATATAAAAAACTAAATAAAAACAGCATCATCATCAGCAGCAGAGGTGAGGACTTACTGGTGGAGTATCTCGGGTCAGGGTTGGTGCTGTACCAGCCCGTGGCTGCAGCTGCTGCACTGGTCCTCATGCTCTCCTGGTACGACGGCAGGTCGCCCATGTTGCCTATGCCTCCGTTGCAGTATCCCCCCATGGCGCTGTGGGAGAACTGGGAGACGGTGTGCGGCATGTGGTAGGTGGCGGCCACGCCGGCGTTGTGGCCCATGGAGTGCTGTTGCATGCCGGTCTGAGACACCTGAGGCTGTCGGTAGGCTCCCAGCGGAGAGGCTAGGTTCCCTGCGCCGTCCATTGCACTGAACTTCTTGTAGGTCTCCTCGATTGGACTCAAAATATCTGTGACTGAAAAAGGCGTTGTGTGCTTTGGGCTCAACGACATGATTCAGAAAGCAGGTAGATTTCTGTGTTGGAGCAGATCAACCGTGTTGTTGTATCGGCTCTCTCCTTGGTGGATGTCTACGTAAGAGAGTGCTTGTAGTGCGCCTGAGATCCTATTGATCGCCTTGGAGAAGGAGGCGAGCCCAGGGCGCTCTTAGCCCGGGTTTATTGGAGCCAGGAGCCAGGTTTACGACAAACACGGTGGGCGGAGCGAAACTCCTAAAGCAGCAAACAATAGTCATTGACATTTTTAGGGGGGGAAACAGTTAATGAAAAGACCCCGGCTCCTTTTATTGAACGGGATAATAAATTAAATTAGATAAAAAAGAAAAGAAACAAAGAAATAAAAAAATAATAAAAACTACATGAGACGTGTGTTGTGATGCTGTCTTTTCTGCACAGGTGACTGATCTGTGGCTGCCGTGTTTCTGCTCAGCAGCTGATCTGAGAACACTGGGATATTTTCTGCGTCAGGAGGGAATTCCACTCTTTCTGGAAACTTTGAGAGCTCTTTGAACAGACACGAGGGCCGCGGAGTATCATCACAACTTCTATGACCGCCTCATTTATGCTTCTTAAGCATCTTTTTTTTCTTTTTTTTTTTGCCCCAGTCCAAATAAACTGAGACGGGGGAAGGAGTGACGCAGCGCTGCACCAACACGAACCGCCAACATTATCGATTGATTGATCGATTAATTGATATTTTTGTGTGCACCTAGGTTGATAATGTTAAATATATATTTACTCAAATGAACTGAATATACATTTTACATATATATATATATGATATGATGATGTCATAGCTGTAGCTGTATGTCACGATACGATTCGATACGTGTATTGTTGCTCATTTAATGCAAGAGATTTAAATTAAAAAATATATATTTATATTAATTTTTATTTTATTTGCTTGTGATCTACTAGTACCGCCTTATTGGCCAGAATTTTCTGTTTCTCCTCCACAGAAACCACGGTATTATTTTTTTTGTTTGTTTTGTTTTTATTTTGAACTTTTATTCCTTCCCCGAGTCTTAACCCAATCTGCGGACAATATTGTCGGCCTCCAACTCCAACTCTTAAAGTCTGGTCAACACGCGTTAATGACACTCCTGTGGTCCTGACCTGACACTGTAATCTCTGAGCAAACTGACTGGCGCCAGGGGACGAGTCAGAGAAAGAGAGGCTCA